TATGACTGTTGGGTTTTTCTCTGTATGTATTATTGTAGGGTCTAGCTAACGCTCCTTTACTGGATCAGCCATTTAGATTTGACTCAGCTAACCTGATAACTTGAACTGCTGTTAAAGAGTGATTCCATTTAGTAATTGTGTTACTGGTTAGCTAACTGATAATATATAACTGCATCTCTCTCACTCTTCCACTGACAGTGCAGTCTGCACAAATGTGGATCCGAGGTGTTCCACTGCTACCCCATGGTAGCTCTAAATGAGTTCATATCAAACACTGATATGTAGAGTTGGATAAAATGATGCAGCAGCAGCAAACACATGGACATTTCATTCTCTGAAATGAAACTCATTGTAGAAGAGCTTTCCCATTATAATCCGCCGTAATGCTCTTATTATGAAGGGCAAGCGGGAACGTGATACTTCCGGTCGAACTACGATCGGCAATTAACGATCCTCATAACAAATTGTCTGCTACAAACTCTGTTTTATCAAGTAAACAATCACAAGCACCACATACAACATACAGAGAAGCTCCGATAAGACAGGAATGACGTTATGGACATGACAGTCCGTACATGCGTCAACTAAAGGTAAACCAGGATAAGCTAACAAACATAAATTAGCATATGAGAAGGGGGTGACCTCCCGCGTTGCACGCCGCTCCAACTGTGAACTAAAATTAGCTCCTAAATGGTAACCATAGTACTGTATCAGCATAAACAAAGGCAAAATGCAACACAGGTTAATACTCTCTTATCATTCAGGCACACATAACATCCCAGAGGAATCAGTGCACCCCCACCGGACCAACACTGCTCATCCGACATTAAACTGCCCACCTTACTAACCGGATGATGTCACCAGACGGTGGGCTGGCCCAAACTGAATATTAAATGACCAGTAGATAAACTTATAAACACCAATAGCATTATTCTATGAACTTTGGGGCCTTTTATACACTCTATAACCCTATATTAATCTTGTATGACATAGGCAAAATTGTTGCACCTGGGTATCCATAATAAAAGGGATGGTTGAGTGACATTTACATATGTAAAAAGCTTTACTTACTTCATTTCTGATCTTTAAATGAAGTAACTGTCACGGACCCGGTTCCGGGACTCGGGGTCCGTGAGCAGTGTGGACTATGATAATAATAATAATAATTATTATTATTATTTTGTGATGTGTGTGTTTAACAGGTGTGTTCCTGCGTTGTGTCTGATAATAAAAGGTAAAAGAAAGAAAGACCTCCAAGTAAATAGCTTGCCCACTCCAGCTCCTCTCCCACAGGGGAATTGTAGAAAAGGGGCTGCATTTATTTTTATCTTAAACATAAAGTATGAATTTACACGTAACATATTTGACATAAGATTAAAAAAACAACAACACGAAATCCGACATACCTGATAAAATAGGTAAAAGAAAGAAAGACCTCCAAGTAAATAATTTGCCCACTCCAGCTCCTACGACCAAATACAAACAGTGGGGAAGAGGGTTAGCTCAACCCACCACAACTTCCAAGCTAGCAGGAATTATCTATTCATGCTAGCGTTCAGGTTCCCTAGAACACATATGTGGGACACATGCACTACACATTTATAGCTGGCAAAAACAGGCACAATGATGACAATAATTGAACTAAAATCACAATCAGGAACATCAGGGTGGATAAATATACATTATATGTGTGTTTTACAGTGTTGGAAAGAAATGACACCCACCTCTCCCACAGGGGAATTGTAGAAAAGGGGAGAGGCCAGAGGGGTACACTGTATTTATAGGGTTGCACCAAAGAAGAAGAAGAACAATGAGGAGGGGCTCTAACTGATAATGAACATAACTACAGGCTTGGAGGTCCTAAAAGTCAGGTATAAAAGGAAGGGGGTTTAGGGGTTTAGAACACATTTTGTGTAATTATAAGAATATGTAATCTATGACTGGGTTACATGTAGGGCTGCCACGATTAGTCGACTAGTCACGATTACGTGACTATGATAAAAATGAAAAATTACAAATCTTTTCCAGGATAAAATAGATAAACAGAAATTTAGGAATTCCTCCACAAATGGTGACAGAGTTGCTGCAAGATGCCGAGTTTAACTTCAAATTTATATGAAAATGACTCAGGCGCTTAGCAACCCTTCTTATATATATACGAATTTAACCATGTGGTACCAGCTGAGTTGAGTTCTGCTATTAAAAAGAGATGTATTGCGGGTGAGTTGAGATCATTGGTTCAAAGTGATTGGAACAACTCCGTGCAGCCACTGGGCAACCAGTGACTTTTCCCAGTCGCAGGAAGGTTGCAATCATGTTTTTACTGTAGTGTGAGTGAGCTAGTAGGTAAACCAGACAGAGATGGAAATTTATTTAGTTGAAGTGCTACTTTGTTAGCTGTTGCTCCTGCTCCCAAGCCTTGTTATAAGTTACTATTTTGCACTAGCCAGACTCACCTCTCATTTATACTTAACAGATACTCGAGACTTAGCTCTCTAAAGAAACCAGAGGAGCTTATTTTTTCAAAAAGCATATTCTTTTAGAGGGACTGAAAGCTAGAATTGTATGTTTTATGTCCTTCCAAACAATCATGGTTTTAAAGAAAAGCTTCTTCTTTTTTTTTTTTTGTAAAAAATAACTTTTCCCTATTCCAAATTGTACAAATTGAGCTTGAGTCTGATCCCGCGGCCTTTGCTGTGTGTGCTCCTGCTCTCTCGCCCTCTCTTTCCTCCTGAACTGTTGACTAAAGGCGACAAGCCTCAGAACAAATCTTGCCATGTACAAGTAAACTGAACTGCCATTGTCTAAGAATCACAGATGCGCGCGCACACACACACAAACACACATAAAATAAAGAGACGTCAGACTTGTTGTCCTCACCAGAGTTTGTTCAGAATCAAGAACAAAACCTTTTTTAGTTTATTCACGACTTCCTGCTTCAGACTGTACCTCTGCAAATTATTACATACTTTTTTTACTATCAGTAACTGACGTGAACAGAAAACATCAAAGAAATGTCAAGACATACATACATTCATCTTGCTTCACCTGGACAAATTTAGAGGTTATGAAGTTCTAGTTTGACAACATTTGAAAGAAGCAGGCCATGAAGTAACTGAAGTCTGTTCGTACATTTGAAAAGCGAAGGAGGGCTTGAACATTTCTTGAGGTTAGCAACAGACAGGGCAGGATACCAAGACAATGATTTCCTTCATGCCCTTTTTTTCTGGACACCGTCTGTGTTTTAGTTCACAAACAGCCTCAGTAGCCAGGTATTTCTCCAAGAAGCTTTTGATCCATTAGGGAAGACCAATTAGGTGCTACTTAAATCAGACCAAACATTTGGAATCACTTTTCAAATACATCACACAGAAACCTTTGATATTACAGCTTTGCAAGCTAACATGTTTCATGATCTGAAGACTGATGGGCACAAATAAAAAAAGAGTAGACTACTGATTAAAGTCTCACAACTGTACATGGAAGAAACAACATTGTTAAGAAACTAGGAAGCATTTTTCTGCCTTTCTGGAAGTTCTCAAATAGGATGGCGGTTACACTTCCTTAATAAGTCAGTGTTTGAATTATGAAAGGTCAGGAAATCAGTGAGCAATAGACACATCCTGTTGTTGTTGCATAGCTGGATGGCTGGAAGATCCAAATTTGTATTTTCTTCTACATGTTGAGAACCATTTCTGAGCCTACAGGATAGGCCTGTCTGCTCTGTTAAACTAGTAAAAAAAAGTTTTTATTTGACTGGTATGATCACAGTTTTTGGATTGCTACAATATATCAAAGTGATACAGTTAAACTCATCTTGACCTTTAAGGATTCAATCCCTGACAATGGGACAATGTAACCGGTGCTGTTCCATCTTTTCTCATTTCGCTTCTGTGAATGACTGAGCGTACAGAATCTCCATGGTGACAAAACCATCATTCAATTTCAAAACCCACAAAAATTTGTAATAATTTGAGTACCTCTAGTTAAAGTTAATGTGACCATGAGGAAGCTGTGTGCTTTAAAAATAATAAATTGGGCTGTAGCATTTAGCTACTACTGGCTAAGTCACAACAATTGCCCCATCACTGACGTTAACCTCATTTAGACATTTTTTAAATATATTTTATATTTGCTTTCTTGTCATGACTCGTTTGAAATGTTGTTTGTGCGTTAAAAGTTAAAGCTAGCAACAGGTCATCTTAGATTTGAATAAAAAGTAAATGGTGGGAATAAATTAATCAGGGACTGCTCAATTTATTGTTAAAATGTGTGTTTAACACAAAGTGTGAGGCATATCGGGGGGTATTGTGTACTGCTAAGCTAACGGTTAACTTTGTAAATAGCCGATTGCCAGAGGAAATCGTCTGGTTTCACTGAACACTCAGCAAGAAAGCCAAAATATACATTTGCCAAAGTATATAAAGAAAATGTATCTATCTGTATCTATGAAGCGCCTTGAGGCGACATTTGTTGTGATTTGGCGCTATATAAATAAAATTGAATTGAATTGAATTGAATTGAAAATAATTGAAACAAGAAACATAGCCCACATTAGTGGTTATTGCTAGT